TGATTCTGTTATGAATTACTTATCTGATTCTCAAAATTCAAGTCAGTTCCCAATAAATTTCAGTTTCCTATAGTTTTCCATCAAACCTCTTAATCCATCCATGTAATTAAGATGCAGACCATTTGCTTTTTTGCGGAATAGAAAAATCATTGAAGGTTGAAGGTAATGAACCTCATGCATGTACCGTAAATTGTCTAATTGACGATCATGCTGTATATTTTATTTAGGAGTCGAAACCCTGGCGTTTAATAGATATGGGAGGCGTTTTAAAGAGAGAGAATCGACCCTCTCCAGTCCATTCTTACTTGCGTCAAGGCCGTTTACAGATCCATGTTGTTTCTTTAACAATTCGGGTTCTGCAGCGTCGATGTCAGAATCCTTACTTTGCCCTAAAACAAACTAAATAGCGTTAAAAGGGAAGTGTATATTTGACAAGAGGCGTTTGTTTGAAAGAGAGCGTCTATTAGCTAGACATTTACATTATTTCTCAGTGATTCTATATAGGTTTTTTGGCACATACTTAGCATAAACTGCGCAGTCTTAGGTTCTTGCAGATGTGACATTTTAAAGTAAACGTACCTAATAAATCTTTTATTTCAGTTTTAGACAGTTTGGTAAAAAGCTTTCTGTATTACTAACGTACGTGTAGCTTTTTCCAGATGTTCTGTTCCGGGTAAATTGAAACAATATACTGAATAAACTCCGTGCACTCTTTGATAATTAACGTTGTTTGGTATGATAATCTTATGCGCATCTATGTAACCATTGAACATTTGCTGCAGTTTCACGCCTCTTACTTTAACCTTATAGGCTTTGAATGGCAGAATAACATTACTCTTTGGTCCTTTAAGTTTTTTTTTTTTTTATCTGCTAGGTAGTTGTAAAAAAATCTTGAACTTTTAAACCCTAGTTAAAACGTAACATTCCAAAAAAAGAAAAAAGTTAAAAAATGCCTTCGTCGATAATTATTCTTTGTTTGTATCCATGTGACCAGGCGGCAATGCTTGATTAAACCGTTTTACAAGACGTCACGGCGGCCATATTGCGCATTAGATCATATATTTAAAGGCTGTTTTGCGCCTTGTAAATAATAAATTATTATTATCATTATTATAATTATTATTGGTGTCCATGTTGAACGTTTAAACTCTAGTTAAACCGTAACATTCCAAAAAACGAAAAACAGTTAAAAAATCCGTTCGTCGATATTGTTTGTATCCATGTGATCAGGCGGCAATGTTGTTTGATTAAACCGTTTTAAAAGACGTCATTGCGGCCATATTGCGCATTATAACTCCTTTTTTGGGGTTATTTTAACTCCTCAATATCTGGGGTCACTTTTACTCCTGAAAAAGAGTTCTTTAAACTCCTTTTTGGAGTTAAAGTAACTCCACGAAAAATAACTCCACTGTAAGGAGTTAAATAAGCCCCACTAGAGGAGTTATTATAACTCCCTGAAAATTACAGTGTAGGTATGGTAATGAACATGATGAATGATAATGAGTTTGAAACAAAGGAAAATGAAATTTATACCAAGGATAAAATTGAACCACAACATATACAACCTCGTTCCCTACCTCGTTGAATCTAGTTAATACTTATTTTTAACAAAAAAAAAGACTAACAGGTTTTTTAAAAGTAAACTGTGTTAATTGCGCACCCCATGTTGATATGCACGCAAAGAAGTAAAAGATGAAGTGATATGGGATAGAAAATATGGAACCATAATTATAAGATAAGGAAGACCTAAAGGACCTGACAAACCAAAATTACAAAGAAAAGAAAACAACAAAACAACAAAGAAAAAAAAAAGACATTATTGCTACGTAAAGCATTGATAAATAAACACTGACCACTGAATTAATCGTAAGGAAGCTGTCACTGAAAATTTTCAGATCATCACTCGTTCTACGCCTGATTTGACAAATGCAGTATCATTAATCCAACTACAACAAGGTTACTGTTGTAGCAATTAAAAAACCATTTGCAAAGGCCGGTGCCTTTGTAAAAGACAATTAACGCTGACGTTTCAAGGGAGTATAAAAATTTCTTTTTTTAAGTGTCGCCTACATGGCATTCCAGGTGCATGGCATAGATAGCTGACCGGTTTATAAAAGAAAACGTGTGTTAAAGCAGCTCGATCTATTGTACTCTGTACCTCCCGTAAGAAGGAGCTCACAAAACCTCCGGCCATAACAACGCTCGAGAATGAAATCTACAGTATTGATTCTTCTTTGTTTGACGCACTTGTTTTCACTGCTGGTAAAAGAGACTGATTGTATCGGGGGATATTCCGTTATGAAAGGAAACAATGGGAAGGTAGTGACCATTTTTTTATTGCCATAACTGTTATGATAACTATTCCAACAGGAAGGAGGCTAAACCAACTTTCTAGTTGGTTCCTCTTTTTAGAGTTCATTGTCATGTTTTTTGCTTAATCGGTGTTTGTCATCACCCAAAAGAAAATGTGGTCGTCTTTAAACTATAGAGAAACTTACATGATGATTAAACAGACGTCAAGGGAACACTCGCTCGCTTCGTAAGGCGAGCTTTATTAAAATAAAGCTCAACTCTCACAAAGACTGGTTTAATTATTATACAAAATATGGTATGGAAAGTTCATGTCTTTCTTAGGCTAATAAATTTCTATCACAGAGTGCCTACCTGAAATGGGTTCAGCCTACTGCGGAATTCATCGTTTTTTTGTTGTTGTTTTGTTTTCAGGAGACGAGACCGAACTACCGGCGCAATATTTGTGCAGCCGCTCGTGAGTTGGATTGCAAACGGGAATTAGAGGAGGATCAGCAGCAGGAGCAGCGATAACGGATAATTTGGAGGATGTAGTGAAACAAAAAGTCCGTAGAAGAAAAGTTCCAAAATACAAATAGAAATGCAAATAAAAAAGATTTGTCTAGGTTATAATACTTTGTTTTTGTGCCCATGGTTCCCTTTTATTTTTTAAACGTTTTCACCCTTGTACCAAATTTGAAAAGCAATCCAAGCGGGCCATTATCTCATTGATTCTGGATTCCACCGTATGGATTTCGGAGCTGTCCAGGTACTAGATTTCGGACTCAAATCCTTGAGCTGGTTTCCGGATTCTAAAGCCACGATCCCGGATTTCACAAGCAAAAATTTCCCGGATTTCAGAATCCGGATTGCTTTACATGGGACGAAACACTTAAATACTGATCTGGTACCCAGATCTCCCTTAGCCAAAGACTGAGTTAGAAATTTACAAAGTTTACACATATGCGAGCAATTTAGAAACTAAACATTAAAAATCTATGTGGGGCTGTTTGGATAAAGCCACCGACTTGTTGCCCCGTCAATATTAAGCGTGCGGTTGTTAGACACAACCAACACGTGCATGCATTTATATACGCCAGTCCTGCAGATGTGATTCTGTTATGAATTACTTATCTGATTCTCAAAATTCAAGTCAGTTCCCAATAAATTTCAGTTTCCTATAGTTTTCCATCAAACCTCTTAATCCATCCATGTAATTAAGATGCAGACCATTTGCTTTTTTGCGGAATAGAAAAATCATTGAAGGTTGAAGGTAATGAACCTCATGCATGTACCGTAAATTGTCTAATTGACGATCATGCTGTATATTTTATTTAGGAGTCGAAACCCTGGCGTTTAATAGATATGGGAGGCGTTTTAAAGAGAGAGAATCGACCCTCTCCAGTCCATTCTTACTTGCGTCAAGGCCGTTTACAGATCCATGTTGTTTCTTTAACAATTCGGGTTCTGCAGCGTCGATGTCAGAATCCTTACTTTGCCCTAAAACAAACTAAATAGCGTTAAAAGGGAAGTGTATATTTGACAAGAGGCGTTTGTTTGAAAGAGAGCGTCTATTAGCTAGACATTTACATTATTTCTCAGTGATTCTATATAGGTTTTTTGGCACATACTTAGCATAAACTGCGCAGTCTTAGGTTCTTGCAGATGTGACATTTTAAAGTAAACGTACCTAATAAATCTTTTATTTCAGTTTTAGACAGTTTGGTAAAAAGCTTTCTGTATTACTAACGTACGTGTAGCTTTTTCCAGATGTTCTGTTCCGGGTAAATTGAAACAATATACTGAATAAACTCCGTGCACTCTTTGATAATTAACGTTGTTTGGTATGATAATCTTATGCGCATCTATGTAACCATTGAACATTTGCTGCAGTTTCACGCCTCTTACTTTAACCTTATAGGCTTTGAATGGCAGAATAACATTACTCTTTGGTCCTTTAAGTTTTTTTTTTTTTTATCTGCTAGGTAGTTGTAAAAAAATCTTGAACTTTTAAACCCTAGTTAAAACGTAACATTCCAAAAAAAGAAAAAAGTTAAAAAATGCCTTCGTCGATAATTATTCTTTGTTTGTATCCATGTGACCAGGCGGCAATGCTTGATTAAACCGTTTTACAAGACGTCACGGCGGCCATATTGCGCATTAGATCATATATTTAAAGGCTGTTTTGCGCCTTGTAAATAATAAATTATTATTATCATTATTATAATTATTATTGGTGTCCATGTTGAACGTTTAAACTCTAGTTAAACCGTAACATTCCAAAAAACGAAAAACAGTTAAAAAATCCGTTCGTCGATATTGTTTGTATCCATGTGATCAGGCGGCAATGTTGTTTGATTAAACCGTTTTAAAAGACGTCATTGCGGCCATATTGCGCATTAGATCATATACAGCTATTTCGAGAAAGGTTGTCGGAAAAATTGTGCACGCGACAATCCCGAAAGGTAACATGGGATATGATCAATACACTGTTCCTGACGATTGTAGCTGTCGAATTTATTTGTCAGTGCTTTCCTTTAGCACTCACAAACATATGTCCATGGCCTCAAGTGCCATTCTTTCAAATTTCTGTGAAGAAAAGTGAACTCAAAACCAACCACAATACCTTTTGGGATTGTCGCGTGCACTCTTTTCGACAACCTTTTTCGAAATAGCTGTATTTAAATGCTATTTTTCGCCTTGTAAATAATAAACTATTATTATTCTTATTGGTGTACAAAAGAATGAAAAAGCGGCCACGTTAGTGTACCAAAAAAAAACATGCGGGGATGGCACTCTTTTCTCAAGTAAAAAGCACTTTTGTTACATAGCTGTAGAATTCGCATATTCCCAGCGAAGAGAAACGCTCCTTGTTCTCTTCAACCAACAGGGCCGCCGTGATGTTAGCTGAAATTCAGCAATTTCAGGTTTCATGGACGCTAAGTAATAAACTAATCGATATATTCCCTCCGGCTCGCGTGTCGCTTTAAACTACCTTATAATTTGTGTTGAAAGTGAATCCTCATTATTTCACTAAACGTTTTCGTTAATTATTAATAGTTTTTCGCGCTCCTAATTGTAGCCGAGTTGGCGCCGCATTCATATGGTAATAATTGATAAAAAATTATAGCAAGCCTATTGATAAGTTTCTTGAATGGTTTTTATAACACGTCATAGTGATCACCCTTTACATTTGCCTTGCGATAATTAAGTCATTATATTTCAGTCAAAAAGGTTATTAAAAGAATTGTCAAATTCAAAACCAAAAAGCTAAAGTTATTCGTGAGGCAATTAAGCCGTCAACAAAAGAAGCCAGGAGCATCTGGAGATGGTAAGATGCAGTAGAAAGCTGCCATCAATTCAATGTGAAGCAGAACGTCTTGGGCCCTCCTTGCAGCCACTCTCGTCTGCTTAAGCAAACAAAAGAAGGAGTCGTTATTCAAAAATTAAAGTCCAAAGAATCAACTGATAGCATGAAACTTTTGTTAGCAAACTCTTGTTCCTTTTCTTTCCACAGTATTGCAGTGCCCTAATATTTTCAAGGCAGCTAACCGATACTGCTTTTTACTTAGTTTCAAAACTATTGCCTTTTCGGCTCTAGGTGCCCTCTTTGGGAAGAAGAATCAGGAAACCGGGATCTGTTTGATATGGATTCTTTCTTCATCACTAATAATAATAATAATAATAATAATAATAATAATAATTATAATAGTTTAATAAAATAATAATAACCTTTTATTGACAACAAAGGTATTAACTATTAAAACCTATTTACAATTAATTTCGCTTTGAAAAAAATAACTCTTCGGTCAAAGCACTATTTACAAGTCATTTCATTTCATATAGGCTCCTGTTCATTTCGATAAAAAATTTTTTAGGAGTTGGTTATAACGCCAAAAATGGAGTGAAAATTTTAGGTACAGGATAACCCCTTTTTGGGGGTTACTTTAACTCCTAATTTAACTCCAAATTTAACTCCAAATTTGGGGTCATTTTTACTCCGGAAAAAGACTTCTTTTTCCTCCCAGTCTGAACTTAAAATTGAACTCCAAAAATGGAGTTATTTTTACTCCTTACATGGGTTGTTTTTACCCTTTTTGGAAACTAGAGTAAAAATTTAAGGTACAGGATAACTCCTGTACGTATTGCCGTACGTAAAGAGGAGAGAGAGCGGTCATATGACCTTACTGCGCATGCTTGATTGTGACAAGTGTTTCAACCAATTTGTTCTAGTAGTCACGGGCAAATTTCTTGACTCTCCCCTCTTTCAATAAAAGTGAAAATTCTTCAAGTGTCAAAGTATATTTTTATAAAATATATACAAAATATAACTGTATATTTTTAAATTCATTGTGGTTATCCAGGGGCACGTGTGGGTAAACCAAAGAAAAAACTATGGGTAACTCGCGGATGCCTTGTTTAGTCATGCCTTAAAGGGACAGGTTCACGGTTCAGCGCATGCTCATTAATCAAAATGCTGTTTTTCTGTTATGCTGTATACATACTGCATGGTCTATGCAAGCAATATGATGATGTCTTAATGTTGTCAAAGGACCAATCTGCACACTCCCCTGACAGTCACTTGCAGTTGATTAACTTACATATTTGCAAATAGCTGTAAATTAATCAACCATGGAATAAAACCTTCGGTTCAAAAAAAATTCAACGTTGGTAGTGTTGGCATAATCCACCAGTTTTTTCTGCGATTTTAGTACTCCTCCATCATACTTCATTACTCTGAAATACACTTGTACTTTGAAATACACTCTGAGATCGCTGAGATACATGTGAGTGGGATTATTAGCCGATAGAAGTAATAATAAATTGGAAAAAACGAATTTAATACATGAGCATGCGCTTAACCGTGAAACTGTCCCTTTAAAAGTAAAATACGTGTATTTCTTTCAACTTTAAATGGTATAACTTTAGTCAGAAGATTGCCTGAGGAAACAAAACGGCTGAATGGGAGACTAAATTGAAGGCATCATTTATTTACTCCGCGGTGAGCATGATTACATGTGAACACGTGCAGAAATACACCTTGAGGGGTGATGAATTTGTGACTTATTATTTCCTTCCGAATTATTAATCGTATGTCAAGCCCCAGGTAATTCCGTGCAAGTGCACCGTCTATTTGACTAATAATAATAATAATGATAATGATAACAATGATAATAATAATAAAACTTTCAATATTCATCTTATTATATTTACCTTTGTAACCTTATTGTACTGCTAATAGTAATGTTACTAATAGAAGCTAACACAATTTCTTTAATTTAAGCAGCAATTAGGCATTTAGTATCTCGAAGCAAAATTTTACGAAAGTAGCGTTCGTCTAATTGCAACCAAAGAACAATTTGACCATCCTCCCTTGTGGTAATAGCTTATAATTTCACGTTGGTAGGTTTCGATTCTAATGTTAATCTAACACAATTTGATTAATTGCCCCAATAGCAAGTCCATATAAGATGTCCCACGCAGTAGCAACAATCCAATTTGTTCTTCACTTCCAAACAAAGTACAGCCTCACT